CATAGAAAGCGGCTCTGAGGAAGGCGAAATCCGCCGAAACGTCAGCTCATTCGTGAATAAAGAATAATAACACCTCGCGTTTGCTCAACAAAAATACGAAGAATTACTTGATCAATGCCGAGGTTAATAGAAAGTCGGTCGTGGGAGCAATGAAGAAAACCATTCACGAATACTGCTCAGATCTCTTCGATAGCCACGTCCACCTTCCGTCATATGAAATAAAGGAGGATGGATATGTTGTACCACCGGTTGTTCTCTCTTCCGAAATCCGACATGACATTTCGTTGATGAAAAATCGTACAGCACCAGGTCCGGACAGGATAAGACCAGAACACCTGGAAAACCGTCCACCAGTCCTCGTAAACATACTGGCTCGGCTCTTCACACGTTACTTGTCTGAATGCAAGGTCCCTACTCAGTGGAAGACCAGCAAGACCGCGTTATTGTTCAAGAAAGGTGGCCTACACGATATCGGAAACTATGGCCCAATCTGCTCACTGTCTGTCGTCTACAAACTTTTCATTTGAGTCATCTTAAACAGGATGGACAGAGCACTGGACGAAGGACAGCCATGTGTGCAAGCAAGGTTTCGGAAAGGATTTAGTACGATGGACCATATCCACACGGTAACAAGGCTCATTGAAGTATCACGAGTGTACAAAAGACCGCTCTGTCTCACTTTCATCGATTTAAAAAAGGCCTTTGGCCCAAATGAATTAGAAGCAGTCATGGGGGGCCTTGATAGTCAAGGAATCCCTGCTCAGTACATAAAGATTCTTCGCGAATTGTACAAAATTTCACGGCCGACGTATCACCATTCTACAACGATATTAACATTGGCGTCAAAAGAGGGATGGCGATGGCAAAGGCAAGGCGATGCCATCTCATCAAAACTATTTACAGCCACACTCGAAAGCGTCATGTGAACATTAGAATGAGACAAAATGGGAGTTAAAATCGATTGCCAGCAATTACTCCATCTTCGCTTTGCTTATGACATCGCACCAAAAAACATTGGCCAAGCGGAGCGTATGCTTGCCAACTTTGATAATAGCTGCAGAAAGATTGGTCTTCGGCTAAATCTCACAAAAACGATGTTCATGAAGAACGGATTCGTTTCGCATGCCCCATTCACGCTCAAAGGAACGAGTATCTCCGAATGCTCCAGTTATGCCTATCTAGGTCGGGGAATCAACATGATGAACGACTTAGCTACAGAGATGAGCAGAAGGAAACGAGCAGCCTGGGGAGATTTCAAGAGCACCGAGGATTTAGTGAAGAGAATAAAGAATACCCGACTCCGTGCCCACCTTTTCGACTCAACGGTACTTCCTGTCCTAACGTATGCGTCAGAAACCTGGTCGCTGCGTAAGCAGGATGAAAGGTCACTCAGCGTTATCGAACGCGCAGTCGAAAGGACGATGCTAGGACTATTCCGTTTCACACAAGTAATGGAAGGGATCCGAAGCTCCAACCTGCGTCAATTGTCGAAGATCAAAAATGTTGTTCTGTACGCCAAACAGCCGAAGATAAGGTGGGCCATACACGTAATGGGTATGAATGACAACCGATGGACGAGAGCCGTTAGTGACTGGATTTCTCGGGATGTCAAACGTACCGCAGGAATACTACCGACCCGATGGTTAGAGTTCCTCACGAAGAGCCTAGAAGAAAGATATTATGCTCGGCGAGTTCCTAGAGCGAGCAGAAGCCACAGGGCTAGCCTTGCACACGACAGGAAAAAGTGGAAGATTTACTGGCGCCTGCTCGAGTCACTCGACGATCAACGGGACTACAAGTAATACAGGCGTTCTTTGCAAGAAATAGTTATCAGAGCAGAATTGCATGCTGCAAGATAGTCTAATCGACAGAAATTGCGTTAAATGCTTGCTATTTCAATAAGCTAAAATTCATGCTTTTTTTACGAGATCATTTCAACTCACAGGAAACCGTGTGCGTTGAAGGCGATGCATATGTATGTGGGCTTAGCGGACAATATGTATTAATTCTGTGCATTTCCAACTCTTTATTTTGTCGCAAACAATTTATTTTTGATAACCTCCGCACTAAGCCGATGGATTTCCTGCCAAAGATATTGTGTCAGATGCCGTCGTTAAAAACTTTTCTTTTAGAACTCATAATTTACAAAAATATCTCTCTTCAGACGAATTTCTCAATACAAACTCAGCGTAGCGGAAAATTGAATGAAGTTGCGTTGGTGTACCGTGTAGAAACGAAACGTCTACTGAACTCTAAAATGTAAACTGTGGTCGCAAAAACCACCTCTTGTGATTTTTTCTTGTTCTTCACCTATTTTCTTCGACGTTGTCCCCTTCCACATTGATAGAGCATTCTGTATGGATGAAGCTGTGGACCGAACCCCACTCAGTACTTCTTGCTTCAGAAATCCACCAAATCAGTTTGAGTTCCGAGTGATTACAATGCATCGTGAAAAATTAATATGAAAGATAATAAACTATCGGCGCTCATTTTTCAATGTACCAATGAATTCTTATAATAGTACATGGTTCCATTTCAGTTACAACAAGTCCTATACTTCCGATGGCGAAAAAGCTTTTCGATACTCAGTATTTGTTAAAAATGTAGCCTATTTTGAAGAAGAAGAACTCAAGCATCCCGAAATTGACCTCGACGTAACGAAATTCGCCGACTGGACAGACGAGGAGATGATCAAGGTAAATTGACACTCATAGACGATTCGTATCTAGATATTTGCTGAAATATTCAGATCAAAAAGTTTCAGTTATTTCCAGCTTTCTGAATGCCCTTAGATGCCGGGGAAGGGCGTGTGTAGCTCAGTGGTTGGTGGTGTCCTTAACACACACAAGGTGACTGAGTTGATCCCGTTCCTTTAGTTCCCAAGATCGACTTTCTATTAACCTTGGCATTGGAATATGAATGTGTCGTTTTCTTGTTCAACAATCGCGAGGTTTTTAAACAGCATACATTTACTTCCATAGAAAAACACAATACAATACAACACTAGCTGACGTTTCGGCAGTACCGCCTTCCTCAGAGCCTGGAAGGGTATACTGATATACAATCTACTAGGCCAAGCGCTTCAATAACACTTACAAAAAGACGAAAAACTCTTTGGTAATTACATGATCAACAGCTTCTCGAAAAACTCACCACTTTTTACGTGATTTCCAATGAGGAAGTTTAGAACAGCTGATTATAGTCGTATATGGTTGCTGACTGCACCATTCCACATCAGAAATCGATGCGAACATACGGGGTCAGGTCACGTATGACCTCTGGGCATTCATCCTTGCTATTCATTGTAGGGTCTTTGGCATTTATCCAAAAAGCCTCGAGAAGTTTTCGCGCTGGTGTTTTAGACTCTTGTGCAAGGATATTGACTCTTACTTCAAAATCGTCTCAGTAATGCTTTTGTATCCTATGCGTGCCTAGTGGGGTACTTTGTCTCAGTTTTCGTTTGCCATCTAGGCGTTCCTTAAGCTATCCAGGAGAATAAAATACACAAATTTATTTCGAAACTGACTTTCTCTAAACCTCGGTGAGACTAATCAATATGTATTCTTTCTTGATAAGGATGCCTCATTCGAGAAGATGGCTCACTGAGGAAGACCTGGCCCGACACGAAGGCGAAGCTGCAACGTCGAGACGAACAACAATCATGGACCATCGACTCGGATCATCGGCTCTGAGGAAAACGAAGACGTTGAAACGTTAGCCGAAAATAAATATATTTATCAACCTCGTGCAAGCTTATCAAGAAAGAATACATACACAGATTTAATACGTCGATGAGGCCCTGAGTTACTGCGTAGGCCAAATATGCATTCATCAATCACTGTGATGCTTGATGGTGTCGAATGCATGACGTATCTCTAAGGGATCGATCAACGCCGAGCACTTCGTCTGCTTCATCTTACTATATTTGTTCGTATTTTTGTTGAGCAAACGCGAGGTGTTATTATTCTTTATTCACGAATAAGCTGACGTTTCGGCGGATTTCGCCCTCCTCAGAGCCTGGAAAGGTCAAGTTGATAGCAATCTACTCGGCCAGACGCCTCCATAACCAAACAAAGGAACTCTAAACCAAGATTTCAATCACACTGAACATAGCTTTGCACACTCACCGCTTTCTATGAGGTTTCCACTAAGTAAGTCACGTAGAGACCAACCGTACAGAAATCACATGGAAGCATAATGTGCCCCTCCCATCAGAATAGCAGTCTTATATACTGCCCTAAATCATGCGTGAAAATGAGGCATTCTTTCCTGCGGTTCATTTTTGGATTTCTGGAATTAATCCAGAATGCCTCGAGAGTTTTTCGCGCCTGTGTTCTTGATTCGCGTGCGAGGAACGTGACACATGCTTCAAAGTCGTCCCGTTATGTCTCTGGGTCCTATGCGTGCCTAGCGGGGTATTTGGTCTATTTTTGCCGGCTAGGTGTTCTTTCATGCGGACACAGAGGGCTCTGCCCGTTTCGCCAATGTATTCGTCACCGCACGTCTTACAGGAGATCAGATAAACTATACCCGAGCTCATGCAATCACCGTCTCTACCACTGGAGCAAATTATGCAATTTTGAGTTACACATAGAGTTGCGGAGAAAATTTGAAGACCTTTTGTAAATCGCATAACACAGCTTTGATAGCGCACAAAAATATCGCTAAGGAACATCAAACAGATCACAATAGGATAGGTAATGTGCAAGAAAATTCAAGGCTAACCGTATTAGGAGGCATAACTCTCCCTGACGGTGCGCGCTCGTTATTAGAATTGGGGCCGAGTTTCTCACCATCTGAACCCATTTCTAAGATAACCTTGCGTAGGGTCGCATGTGGTTTACATGAACTTCAAGATAGACTCCGCATAAAAGCTAGAGATGAAGCGCTAAATAGGTGCGAACAACACCAAGTGGGGGCCCTACCAATTGCATCATTTCCCCCGACGTTCTTTAGAAAACAAGAACCCAATAATGAAGTTGATGTCGGATAATTTTCGGATGTTTGCGAATGAAGCTCTCAAAGTCCTTAATCACTATCGCGCGAAAAGATACAGCTCAAACCTCACTCCAGTGCAAAAACGTGGTATGCGAGAGGTACGAGAGCTGATAGAGAAGAGATAAGGTTGAAAACCATAAGGCTATCCGTTAGTGATAAGGGTGGAGAGTTTGTCGTAATTCCTCATCAGTTAGATGTGGAGATAACGAAAAAGCATCTCGAAGATGCTTCGCTTCATCGCCCATCATCTGAGAAGGAATTTAAAAGCAAATACCGAAAATTGAACCACGAATGGGCCAAAATGGAGAGGGCTGCTGGTTTAAAACCATCAGTTATCTCTCAACTTAAAGTTGACTTTCTCACATGCCCCGTCTTGTACTTACTTATAAAAACTCATAAGTTAGTATCCAGCGATGATCTTGCGTCTACCGATCCATCACTATTTAAGGTTAGACCTATCATTAGCTGCGTAGACGGGCCAACGGACAGGATAACATGGTTTTTAACCCTAATGTTTNAAACCATCAGTTATCTCTCAACTTAAAGTTGACTTTCTCACATGCCCCGTCTTGTACTTACTTATAAAAACTCATAAGTTAGTATCCAGCGATGATCTTGCGTCTACCGATCCATCACTATTTAAGGTTAGACCTATCATTAGCTGCGTAGACGGGCCAACGGACAGGATAACATGGTTTTTAACCCTAATGTTTGCCTAGTTGTTGAAACACAATCCAGCCCATCTTACGAATACCCAGATGTTTCTGGATCGTCTGCGTACTGCGCAGCCCAACAGCGCGTGCCTGATGGAGTCCTTCGACGTTACCGCCCTTTATACAAACGTGTCGAATGACTCCGCAATGCAAGCCATATTCGAACTCCTTACACAACACGAAGGAGAAATAAACATGTATGGCTTCAAGATAGAGCACCTGATGGCACTCTTAAAAGAATGCTTGAGCTGCTCAATCTTCAGATGGTCCGGAAAGTACTACGCTCAAATAAGAGGGTTGGCAATGGGACAACGACTGGCTCCAAGCCTTGCCATTGCATTTATGTCTAAGGTGGAAGCACCGGTGACTGATCTCGGGCCTCTACTCTACTGTAGGTATGTAGACGACTGCTTTGTCCTTTGTTCAACACAAGAGGAAATGGACAAATGTTTCGAATTGTTAAACGCACAGTCAGAGTATATCAAGTTCACCCCAGAAAAGCCGAAAGAAAAATGGCTTCCATTTTTGAACCTACAAATTCACCTATCAGAGAATGGCTACGTTACAAAGTGGTACTGAAAGCCAAGTAGTAAGAACATCTTGGTTCATTACCATCTCCTCTCATCCCTCTCACACGAAAAGGGCGCTTATAAGAAACATGTTTCGAACAGCAACCAACGTGTGCACGGGAAGAGAGCAGAGAGAGGAGTCCCGGAACTTGGCACGGAAAATAGACATTTTTAATGGCTACGAAACTAGCTCAGGATAGGTGTAGAGGAAATCGTAGGCCTCCAAACAACAACTCTAGCGATAGAAGGGTCCCGTTTATCNTACTGAAAGCCAAGTAGTAAGAACATCTTGGTTCATTACCATCTCCTCTCATCCCTCTCACACGAAAAGGGCGCTTATAAGAAACATGTTTCGAACAGCAACCAACGTGTGCACGGGAAGAGAGCAGAGAGAGGAGTCCCGGAACTTGGCACGGAAAATAGACATTTTTAATGGCTACGAAACTAGCTCAGGATAGGTGTAGAGGAAATCGTAGGCCTCCAAACAACAACTCTAGCGATAGAAGGGTCCCGTTTATCTTACCCTTCATCTCAAATGATATAAGTACAGCTATAAAACGCTGCTTAAGAAGGGCGGATTTAGAGAATTCGGTAAGCGTAGTTGAAATACCACCGAGTAATCTTAAGCGCCAGCTAGTTCGTAACCGCCTATATGACCGTCTATGTGCAACTCAAAATTGCATAATTTGCCCCAATGGTAGAGACGGTGATTGCATGAGCTCGGGTATAGTTTATCTGATCTCCTGTAAGACGTGTGGTGACGAATACATTGGCGAAACGGGCAGAGCCCTCTGTGTCCGCATGAAGGAACACCTAGCCGGCAAAAATAGACCATATACCCCGCTAGGCACGCATAGGACCCAGAGACATAACGGGGAGGACTTTGAAGCATGTGTCACGTTCCTCGCACGCGAATCAAGAACACAGGCGCGAAAAACTCTCGAGGCATTCTGGATTAATTCCAGAAATCCAAAAATGAACCGCAGGGAAGAATTCCTCATTATCACGCATGATATAGGGCAGTATATAAGACTGCTATTCTGATGGGAGGGGCACATTATGCTTCCATGTGATTTCTGTACGGTTGGTCTCTACGTGACATACTTAGTGGAAACCTCATAGGAAGCGGTGAGTGTGCAAAGCTATGTTCAATGTGATTGAAATCTTGGTTTAGAGTTCCTTTGTTTGGTTATGGAGGCGTCTGGCCGAGTAGATTGCTATCAACTTGACCTTTCCAGGCTCTGAGGAGGGCGAAATCCGCCGAAACGTCAGCTTATTCGTGAATAAAGAATAATAACACCTCGCGTTTGCTCAACAAAAATACGAACGATTACTTGATCAATGCCGAGTTTAATAGGAAGTCGGTCGTGGGACTTACTATGTTTGTCCACTAAATTCATTATTGGATATAGAATATGATTTCCTCACGAGAATAAAGTTTATTCCGTGAAGAGTGAAATCTGGTTGAGAAAAAATTTATCCTTGCCATAACCTATTCATATGATGCATTCATAAGTAAATAAAACAAAACACGTAAACATTGAAAGGTTATGAGCAGAGCTCCAGCGCTAGTAATTAATAGTTGTTTCGGGGACTGAAGTAGCATTTCATGCCGTATATTTAAAGTGGTATGCTTCATCTCAGAATGCACTTAATTTGTCGAAACGAAAAATATAGGATCTCTACATTTTTCCTAACAAGTGTTATACCGATTGCTTAAAATTCTGTCGCTGAAGGTGGTTTCGGCTTCGGCCTGGTTATTGGAGCGTTTCTCAGACAGGAAGTTCCCTTCATGCTTGAAGAAGTGGTATCCGTAGGTGAATGGATTTAGCTGGTATTTTAGCTGAGGTAGAGTTTCGTAGCTCAGATTTTTTAACTTTTGTAGCGTCGGCTGTGCGACGCCTTAGAGTGTGTTATCTATCATACACACGAAGTGGTACCTTTCTGATGACAAATACCGGTCACAGATGCCGAATTTTCTCGTGAATTCTTCGATTTCTTGGGTGTTTTTTCGCCATAATGGTTTTATCGAAAAGGCGTGTTAGATCTGGAAGACGTGTTAGATTGAACCACCATGGAGCCACTATGAGCATGACCTACCTCTGTTGCAATTTCTGCTGCGGAAAAATGCTGCGGAGTTTCACTGCTGTCCAACCGCTGAGCCGATTATCGTCACTTTTCGCAGAACACCCATTTCTCGTTCCCTACAACTTCTCAAACAATTTTACATGTATTCGTTCCCAACAAACCAGTCAATTGACCGTCGTCAATAGTAGAAGGAGGTTAGCCACCTCTCTAATCCTTATTGTCGAATTTTCCACAACGGAATTTTCCATAGCAATCAAAACCAATGTGCGTTCGTTGACATCTTGCTCCTTGATCCTATTGCAACAAATTTAACACGGCTGGTACTAAATCCCGTTTGCAGATAGGTTCAATTCTTAGTTCCAAGCTTTACTAATGGTTCGAGCGGTTTGTCTACACTGAGTCCAAGTTTGAATTCAAAAAAGTAAATTTTTCGAAACAGTCGTTTGGACATCCGGAATTCGGACCTCTAGAAATTGTTGAAAACACGTCTTGTATTGCAATACAATTATAAGGGTTAGTACAGAATTTGAAAAAAATTTTGGTATAACATAAACGAGACGCAACAAGCACTAACCTATCATTTAATATCTGTTTGACTTCTATTTGGTGCCTTCTACTTTTTTCTAAAACGTAGTATTATTTAAAATGCAACCACAATATTCTGGGATTTGAGAAAAATCCCAGTATCCCAGGCGAGCTTTGAACCAGCCATTACCTATCCGTCGCCTCACTTGTTATCCACTGCACCAGCACGGCCCTCGATTTGCCTTTCTCTTAACCTGCTTTTAATTATTTAATATGTAGACACCCACACATGAAGATGGGTGGTGACGACGAAAACAACGAAACTGGCTTACCAAAAAAGGTTTTTTGTTCAGATTCTGCCTGGCGATAAACGAGAAACGAAAACCGACGACGCCCAGCAACGATTCGACAGTTCTGCTATGGGCGTTCGCGATGGGCGGCCGGTCGAGGTTGATTGGGTGAAAGCTGGAAAGGTCACCACTGTGAAGGATCAAGGTAAGCGGACACTGGGTATTGCTCAGAATGCACTGAGAAATGTTAATGGGATGACGGTTTGAAACGGAGAACGAACTTAATTTGTAACCGATGATCAAATTGCTTCGCTCACTAATGGCACATTGGATCACGCAGACCGTGACTATCGTCTTCACACTTACCATTCCTTTGATATCGAGTGATTCGAGTACGTACTGAACTATGAGAAATGGTGCGTGTGGCGCAGTGGTCAGAGGCTTCCTGCAACACACACAGAGAATCGATCCCAGTGTCTTTGCCCACCAAGCTTTCCATTCCTCCGGGGTCGGCAAATTGGTACCAGACTTGTCTGGGAAGATGGCAGCACAGGTTCGATACATCGGTAGGCCACCGCGAGTCATTGTAAAGCTCAGATATGCATTCAATCACCTCCAAACGATGCTTAAAGAAATCGAATGCACGGCGGATTCCTAGAGGATTGACCAACGCTGAGAGCTTTATTTTTTTGTACCAGACACTGCTATTTTATTCTCTGTAGCCCTTCTAGCTATTGTTGAGGATCGGCCGTACAGAATCTTATATGAGTGACGCATGTTCTTGTATCAAGCCAAAAAATGAGTCTGAGGCATGGCGCAAGCTCACTGGCGACCACGAAGAACTCCTCCCACTGGCTCATTTTTGAATTTTTGGAATTCATCCAAAACGCTTAAGAGTTTCACTTACATACTTGCACACTTAAACGGTCCGTCTTCACGAGATGTGCTGACTCCGGCACATTTGCCATTCGTTTCTTTCTCTCGCAGTCGTGGCCGATTGAAGTAGTTTTACTTGTGCATGGTGGCAAATGCAAGTCTCATGCCGCGATCTGTAAAATAACTGCTCGTGCGCGTACACCTGATTAACTTTGTTTGTGAATACGTCCGCCCAAAGTGTATATGGTTGTTCTACTAGACGCCTGCATCCTCGTCGATTCCATTCTACAGTTCTTTTCGTCCAACTGTCGTCCGTTTTCCTCATTATGCGATGTACATTCTTTTGGATCCCCAAGAGGTGATAGGTTTCGAAGAGCAGAGCTTCAGATTTCGGCTAGATATTGAGTGTTCGTTTATATTTTAGAAGGCATCGCTCAAGCGCACTGCGAGTAGTACGCAGAATTCTTGACGTAGTTGATTTATCGGCCTCTGCCTCTGCTTCGTAACAGAGGTGTGGGAATTTTATGCGTTGATATTTTCGAATTTTGTGCGAGGATAGTGGCCTTTACTTCGAAACCTTCTTCATTATGGCATTGTGCCCTACGTATGCTTAGTGGAGCTCTTTGCTTGAGTTTAGGTTTTCCAACTAGGTGCTTTATTAAACGGGCTTAAAGCGGTATATCGGTTTTGCCAATGTATTCTTATCCCCATGTTTTGCAAGAGCTCAGATAAACAGTGATGAAACTGAATGCGTCGTTTTCTTGTTCAGCAACCGCGAGGTTTTTAAACAGCATACATTTACTTCCATAGAAAAACACAATACAATACAACACTAGCTGACGTTTCGGCAGTACCGCCTTCCTCAGAGCCTGGAAGGGTATACTGATATACAATCTACTAGGCCAAGCGCTTCAATAACACTTACAAAAAGACGAAAAAACTCTATGGTAGTTACATGATCAACAGCTTCTCAAAAACTCGCCGCTTTTTACGTAACTTCCAATGAGGAAGTTTAGAACAGCTGATTATAGTCGCATATGGTTGATGACTGCACCATCCCACATCAGAAATTGATGCGAACATACGGGGTCAGGTCGCGTATGACCTCTGGGTATTCCTCCCTGCTATTCATTGTAGGGTTTTTGGCATTTATCCAAAAATCCTCAAGAAGTTTTCGCGCTGGTGTTTTAGACTCTTGTGCAAGGAATATTGTCTTTTACTTCAAAATCGTCTCCGCTATGCTTTTGTATCCTATGCGTGCCTAGTGGGGTGCTTCGTCTTAGTTTTCGTTTGCCATCTAGGTGTTCTTTCATACGGATACACAAAGGTCTGCCCGTTTCGCCAATATATTCTCTTATATATATATCTCCGCAATTGTTACACGAGATCAGGTATATCGTACCTGAACTCATGCAATCACCGTCCCTGCCGTAAGGGCAAATTACGCAATTTGTTGTTTCACACAGACGGTCATACAGGCGGTTACGAACTAATTGACGACGTAGAGTAGTCGGTGGTATTTCAACTATCGCTACCGATTCCTCTAAACCTGCCCTTCTTAAGCATCCTTTTATAGCTGCGCTTACTTCATCGCTTATAAAAGGCAACATAAACGGGATTTTGTTTTGGCCAAGTGTTTCGCGTGGGCGCGTCGTTCTCCTTGCAAACTTATCTCGTGGGGTTACTATTTCGTAGCCATTAGAGATGGCTATTTGCCGAGCCAAGTCGCGCGATTCTTCCTTTAGTTCTGCACACAGAGGTGGCTGTTCGAAACATGTTTCTCACAATCGCCCTCTTTGTGTGTGAAGGGTGGGAAGAAAGGAAATGAACAAGGATGTTCTTGTTACTTGGCTTTCGATACCGCTTTGTCAGGTAACCACTACTTGATAGGTTTATTTGGACGTCCAAAAACGGAAGCCAGTTTTCTCTCGGCTTCTCNATAAAAGGCAACATAAACGGGATTTTGTTTTGGCCAAGTGTTTCGCGTGGGCGCGTCGTTCTCCTTGCAAACTTATCTCGTGGGGTTACTATTTCGTAGCCATTAGAGATGGCTATTTGCCGAGCCAAGTCGCGCGATTCTTCCTTTAGTTCTGCACACAGAGGTGGCTGTTCGAAACATGTTTCTCACAATCGCCCTCTTTGTGTGTGAAGGGTGGGAAGAAAGGAAATGAACAAGGATGTTCTTGTTACTTGGCTTTCGATACCGCTTTGTCAGGTAACCACTACTTGATAGGTTTATTTGGACGTCCAAAAACGGAAGCCAGTTTTCTCTCGGCTTCTCACGGGTGAACTTTATATACTCGGACTGCTCGTTCAATAATTCAAAGCATTTGTCCATCCCCTCCTGCGTAGAGAAGACGACAAAACAATCATCTACATATCTGCAGTAGAGTAGTGGCCGGAGATCGAGAACAGGGGCTTCTATCTTAGACATAAACACAATGGCCAGGCTTGGTGCCAATCGCTGTCCCATTGCCAACCCCCTTATTTGCGCGAAATATTTCCCAGACCATCTGAAAATCGAGCAGTTTAGGCACTCCTTTAAGACAGCCATGAGCTGCTGGTTGGATGAGCCATGCATATTTATTCTTCCTTCATGTTCAACAAGAAGTTCGAAGATGGCTTGCATTGCGGAGTCATTCGACACGTTAGTGTACAGCGCGGTAGCGTCGAAGGACTCCATCACGCACGCGTTATTAGGAGACGCGTTACGTAGACGTTCTAGGAACATTTGGGTGTTTGTGAGGTGAGCTGGAATGTGGTTAAGCAACTGGGTAAGTATCGGGCTTAAAAACCAGGTTATTCTATCCGTTGGCCCGTCTACACAGCTGATGATCGGTCTAACCTTAAATGGTGACGGATTGGTTGACGCATGATCATCAGGTGATACCAACTTATGTGTTTTAATAAATAGGTATAGGACGGGAATATGTTGGTTTATCGATTTTAAAGTGCGAAATAGCCGATGATTTTAAACCCGCAGCCTTTGCCACACTGACCCATTGATTGTTTAGTTTTCGGTATTGACTTTTATATTCCTTTTCAGAGGATGGGTGATAGAGGGTAGCATCACTAAGACGTTCCTCTGTTATCTCAGCATCCAGCTGACGAGGGACAACTACGAACTCTCTCCCCTTATCACTAACAGACAATCTTATTGTTTTCGAGTTTATTAATTCTCTAATTTCCCGCTTGCCACATTTTTGTGCGGCTGTAAGGTTAGAGATAAACTTTCTATCGCGGTAGTGATCAAGGGTCTTGAGAACGCCGTCCGAAAACACGCGGAATTTTATGTCAACTCCATCGTTAGGGTCCTGCCGTCTAAAAAACCCTTTTGGGAAGGTGGTAGTGTCGCCGCCTCTTGATTTTTTTCTCTATTTGATGTTTTTTTGCTTGGCCTGATAGCGGAGTCGATCTTGAAGCTCATAAAGGTTGCACGCTTTCCTATGCAGGGTCGTTTTAGAAATGGTCTGTGATAGTGCAAAACTTAGGCCCAATTCTAATAGCGAGCGCGCATTCTCAGGTATTGTTATGCCCCCAATCACGGTGACCCTAGATTTTTTTGGTGCATTATCAACCCCATTCAATATCAACGCCAGTAATGAAACTTGTGCAATCGCTTTCCTTACCGTTACGGCGTGCTTTACAAATTTGCGTTGTGCATAGACTGTCATACAACCCCGTGCGGACTAGCCGGCGTCTTAAAATGGTCGGTGATATTTCAGCCACTGCCATTGATTGCTGTGTACAGGATCTTTTTAAGAAATATTTTACAGCTGCGCTTGCCTCACTAGAGTTAAAGGGCAGGTTAGACGAGGCTTTTTTCGGCTAGGCTGACCGTTTTTTCCTACAAACTTATTTCGAGGAACTAACGTTTCGCAACCATTAGAAATGGCTATAGAAATGACAATGTTCAGGGATCTCTCCTACACTCTTCCTGTGCACACACTGGTGACTGTATGAAACATGTTTCTCATAAGCGTCGTCTTTGAGTGTGAAGGCTGAGAGAGAAGGCAATGAACCAGCACACTTAGTTGGGAAGGCCCGTCCCAACTAAGTGTACTGGACCTCATATTCCCCATTTCTGGAGTTTTGATGGTTTAGCCACTGTGTTTTCCTGGACTCCCGAGGTCAGCCTGGCTAAAGTTTACCCCAGGTTGTTACCACCACAGGCATTCGCCGCTTTTGTGGATCAAAAGGAGATTTGCCACGATGCACTAATTTGATACCAGGACGGTGGTTGATCCTGATACTGGTTTACTCGAGCTTCGTGATGAAAACGCCGGACTCCTTCTCAGCTTGAGAGACCCTGTCGGGCAGCGAATCCTATCGCAGCTCGACCCTTAGGAACATCTCCCAGCCACGATGAAGCGGTAAACCGTTGGGAAGAATGAACCAATATTTCTTTTTCAATTAGTTTTCGGTACACTTTGTGATTAACCACTCTTGATAAGTTAATATAAACGCTTTTGCTAAGAACGTATGAAGGGAATAGATCGAATTGGTGCAGTAGATAATGGGAAACCACCTATCATCTCATGGTAAGCACACTCGTGTTAAATCCACGTGCATCACTTTATCATGGAGAGCAACCTGTCAAGGAAGTGACTTAAAATCCATCACGTCAACGCAAATCGTGGAATTGACAAAATTTAGAATAATAAAAAATTTAGAATAATAAAAACAAGAGAAAAAACACAAAAAGTGCTATCTCTCTTTGTTAGGACAGTGCGGCTCCTGTTGGGCATTTGCGGCTGTGGCCTCTGTGGAGTCCGCCCATGCGATAGCTAAGGGCCCACTGGTGCGCCTCAGCGAACAAGAGTTGATCGACTGTGATACACAAAACTATGGCTGTAATGGTGGATACAGACCGTATGCGATGAGGTTGCGAATATTTCATTCTTAGACACATCCAAAAAAAGTCACTTGAGAAAATTACCCATACAAGTATTTGTGTGGTTGGAACATAGCAGCTGACAAATAGTAAACAACTTCATATAAGATAGTTTTTGAATATCACCACAGAGTTGTGTAATAGTGGTTCTTTCATAAAAAATTGTAGAGTGATTCTGTTAGAGTAGCCGAGTAGTGACATGCTAGTAAATTTCAGAGGTATTCTGTTGTCCTAGAGTGCAGGTAGTGTAATGACAACAGTTGCCCTATAACGCATGTGTGGTCCTTAGCTCGATTTCATGTACCGGGCTAACAAACCCAGTCCACCATTCCGGAATGGGAAAATTGCTGCAAGGCTTATATAAGAAATGAAAACTACTGACTTGATACGGTAGCAGAAATGGGAATTGCTGTATAGACCATAACACGAATTAAACAAAGTTAACGATGTCCAGTGCAGCCTAACAATGGCGCATCCGTGTGAATTTAACCAATACCAAACGCGCTATTCATCGTACTTTTTCCACCTATTTCATTAAATATTTAAACGACGTGTTTCAAATCCAGGTATGTTGATCCCGGATGCCTACGTTTCCTTTCTAGTTCGTTAAAAAGATAACTCCGAGAGATGGCTCCTAACTAGCTCTGATTAAGGCTTAAAAACTATCCTTGAATTTTAGTTTTGTGAGGAAAAACGGCTTAGTGAAAGAGGACGAATATCCTTACCGTGGGGCCGATCACAACGAATGTGCACTAGACGTGAACTCAACGGTAAGAATTTCGACACTGGGTGTGAATCCCATATGAATTTGCACAGTGTATGGGAAAGCAAGCGATGCTGATTTTTCTTCATTGTTCCGGAAGGCATGAATGCGTGGGAGCGACTTCAGTGACTTAAACAATTTTAACTATCGTATGATTTGCAAATGATCTGACTAGAATAACAAGAGAATTTTTGTGCTAAAAGGTGGAAACGAGGAAAAAGGTTGGTTAATCAACCTTTAATGTCTCACATGCATTCAGGGTCGAGTATTCATTCACGACTATCGCACTCTGTCACCTAATGAAGAGATTATCGCTGACTGGATTGCCACTAAGGGACCAGTTACATTTGGTACGACTTTATCCCATGTGTATTTCCTTCAAAGCCCAGTACTGGGTAGTAGTAGAACAAAAGCGATTCGGGGTCGCTCACAACAAGTAAACCTCAACTCCTTTCTGAAAGAATCCAGAAAACTTTCCATGGTATCCTGCTATCAAGCAGATCTGCAAAATAGACTGCTTCACAGAAATGTTCAATGTTTTTTGGGTCAAATAAATCAGCAATCTCTAGCAGCTCTGTAATACGGCATGGACAAAGAATTCTCTTGTTTAATGTTTAAATGATTCAATAACCAGTTGAAAAGAACATTACGAAGCCGATCAGATGGTAGAGACTTTTACTAAGTTCAAAAGATTTTAAGAAAAAAGGCGATTTAATTCACGTGTCTTGTTTGTCTCCTATGGCGTTACTATTTAACAGAAAATCTTCGATTTTTTAACCTTTTTCTTTTTAACCTTTTTTAACCTTTTAATTTACCTTTAACCTTTAACCTTTAACCTTTTAACCTTTTAACCCTTTTCTTTCTAGGCATGAATGTCACAAAACCTTTGTACAGCTATCGCAACGGTATATTTTCACCATCGAAAGAAGACTGTGAGGTAAATCAATCAAATAGATAAAGAGAAACCTGACGAAGAATTAAAGACTACTAGAAAGAGCGAGTGCAATTACTGAAGCAAAATATGATATGAATAAAGTTAAAAGATCTTTCTGAACGAGAGGTTACAGTATTAGAAACCGGCTTGAATTAAAGTATTCTAATCGCGGCAAACACTTGGAAAAGAAGAATATTGTGAAGAAAAAGAACAGTTCGGCGTAGGAGGTTAGTGAACGGAAAGACAAGTTAGAACCGGATTCTGGAAAACTCGTCTATGATTAATACGCCTAGAAATGAAAAATAAAGAGCTTTGTGCTTAGTACCCGCTTCTACGTTATGCTGTCGATTAGATTACTTGAGCTTTTAGTGTTTTAAGATCTTTGAAATCAGAATAACTTTCATATTATTAAGTTTGTTACCAGTACAAGAATAAGATAATATTGGAACGATACTGAAATGTAAGGTCTCAATAATTCTATCTGGTTAAAGAAGAACTCACTTGGCTCTCATGCTCTGATTTTCGTTGGCTACGGTACTGACAGTGGCGGTGAGAGGTACTGGTTGGTGAAGAACTCATGGGGATCGCGCTGGGGTCAGAACGGATACTTCAAATTGGCTCGTGGTCAAAACGCTTGCGGTGCTGCAAACAGTGTTGTCACGCCGATCATTGAACAGAACTAGCAAGCCTTTAAACCATCTTTGCATCAGCTGAATCGTGTAAAAAATTACAGATTACTGTCACCGAGGTCTAATAAAGATCGATTTTTAGGAACTAGCGGTGTCAATTTGTGTTCTGGTGTTTTAGAGCTGTCTTCATTTTCCTTTTCTCTTTTTTTCTTTCCTACTGAAGTAATAAAGATTGTTTATTTCTGTTGTCTTTTGTTGTTATGGTATCAAGGAAATAAGCCTACTGTGACAGTTTAAGAGTGGGTGTGGTGTCTTTGAATATTTCACAGTTGTTGTGACAATTTGCATAAATTTTACATTATTGCTGCGTTTTGAGCACTCAAACAGCGTGTTTTTGCTCTAAGTTATAGCGACAGCCTAGTTTTTAGTATACTAGGTTCAGAACGGGTTGTATCACGTTCCACGAAGGCATTTTGTTTCCCAGTGTCGAGTAAATCTACAGGAACTAATAGCATCGCAGGATCAGACGGCTACCTTGTGGAAAACTTACCTGCGAAAGAATAACTGACCGTTCTTTCGTGGACAATACGGCAAATTTTTTATGATTGTCGCCGCCGATTTTTCTCAGGAAATCAGTAGGTGTTGAGAAGCATAAAGATTTCACCAGAGATAAACTGTTATCCGTGAAACCTGTAGCCAAATCACCGTACAGTTATTGATCTATACATCTGTGATCCAAAGATCTCCTTCATGCGATTTCATGCCAGTTAGTCTCCAGGCACCGCAAGGCTCTGGCGCGTCCATTGGTGGCGCATTGGGATCAATCGCCTACTAAAACCGGCCTACGCCTTCCTGAGACGCAAATGGAGTCAAACGATGGACTCCCTGCCTATGTTGTGCCAATTGATCAGATACCTTCTGTGCTTACGGGGACGTTTCCATGAATGCATGCGTAGGTGTGTTCTCGCGGCCAACAGCTTGCACTCAAGTAACAGAAAAGTGCATAGGAAGCGGTTAGGAGTCGCCTCCAACAAATAAGCTCCATTTCTACCCTAGGAGAAACCCGAAAGCAGCAGTGAGCATGTTCATACTCTTCGCTCAGACTTCATCAAGCCATACATATATCAGATGGCAAACACAGTAAAATAAGTGAGCTCATACCCCTGACCGCGAAAGTTTCTCCGCTATGGAAGAGTTGATAACATGTGTGCGAAGAAGCTGCTAAAAACTCAAGGCCATTCTAGGTTGCCTAAATCAGAAAGTACGAAGGTGACGACTTGCACCTACAATGCATACTTGCATCTGCGTCCTCGACGGAAGACCTTATCATGCGGGTAAGAAAGATAAGGTACGACGTCAGAAGCTTGGCCGAGACGAGACGACGCCACCCATTCATTTATTCAAGGCTGTCTATGACAACGGAGAAGGACTGTTCCTCGGAGCATGCGACGGCAGAAAAGTCCGCGACGTCGACGTTCCCGTCAACACGAGTTTGTCCATGAACATTGATTCATTCGAGAAACTAACAACTCTTATCAGACGTTTACGATTGAAGAGATGTGGATCAATAGCAGCTTTGATAGTCTTCGTCTTGGGAGAGAACAAGGAACACACGACTCTGTACCCACCTTTTCAGCTCCACGATTCTTCCCCTCCTAAGGTATACGTCGGAGATCTGGTCGCTGCTTAACCAAGATGAAAGGTCACTCAGCGTTATGGAACGCGTAGTCTAAAGTATAGTGCTCGAAGTATCCCGTGTCACAAAGAGAGAGGAAGGATCCGAAGCACTGGCCTACGTCAACGATCAAAAATCGAAGATGTCATTTTATACTCCAAACTGTTGAGGATAAGATGGGCCAAAGACGAAAAGCGTATGAGCAACAACCGATGGGCAAGCGTCGTTTGTGACTCTATTCTTCATGACGTCAGGAGCACCGCAGGTAGGCCACCGATTAGATGGTCAGAACTCCTCACGCGAACGCTAGAAGAAAGATATAGTGGTCGACAATTTCCCGAAGCAAGCAGAACCTAGTGCGCGACTTTTGCACGCGACAAGAAGAAACGGAAGAATTACTGGCGCTCACTCGATTCACTCGGCCATCAACGGGACGACAGTTCATGCAGGTGATACATCTATGTCATACCTTGATAGTTATGATGATCCAATAGGGCAGTTGGTATGAGAAATATTCCCATGAAGGAAGGGAAACAAAAACAGTCTGTATACTCTCATGCTTCACTTTTTCTTGTAAGAAGCAGAAAGAATTTGCCATACAAAAATGTGCAAGATCTGATTTTTATTTATTGCAAAGCGGCCTGAAACTGGCACAGAAAAGGCGAAACTGCAATCTTTCTAAGCAACTAAGGAATAGTTTCTATAAGACAGTCTTTCTTAACTGTTTTCTTCTTATCATTCTACTAACACCATGAGTTTTTGATGGTTTGCCTGAGATCACCTGTATCACCTGCAGCCCTGTTGATCATCGAGTGAATCGACCGGGCGCCGGTAAATTCTCTATTTCTCCTTGTCGCGTGCAGAAGTAGCCCTCTGAGTTCAGTGAGCTCTTCTCGCTCTGGGCACTAGTTGAGTACCATATCTTTTTTCCAAAGTTTTCGTGAAGGACCCAAACCATTGGATTAGTGGTCTTCTTGCAGTACGTCTGAGGAATCCAGTCACTAACTGTTCCTGTCCGTTGGTTATCGTCCACACGCATTATGTGTCCTGCTCATCCTATCTTTGACAGTTTGGCGTATAGAACGTCTTTATTTTTGATTGTTGACGTAGATCAGAGCTTCGGATCCCTTCCTACATTTGTGCGGCGCGGTATACCTTGAGCATCGCGCTTTAGACTGCGCGTTTCATAACGCTGAGTGATCTTTCAGCCTTCTCAAGCAGCGACCAGGTTTCTGCCCCATACGTTAGAGCAGAGAATCGTGGAGTGGAAAAGGTGAGGACGGAGTTGGTTTTTTTTTGTTCTTCTCACTATCTCCTCGATGTTCTCGAAAGCTCCTCAAGCTCTATGCTTCCTCGTGCTTACCTCTTTGCTTTAGATACCCAGTTTATTCTAACAGATAATGAAGTCGAAATATTTGTCGAAGACCTTACCAAAAAAGATATTTTACCTAAACGTGGTACTGAATAGCCATTTATGCTTTCCTCAGCCAGTCTCATACAATCATTTAGAGTAGTTACGAGAATGGAAACCCTGGTTGACCAAGAAGTTCGTTCTCAATATTTAAAAATGCTTAATTAATGCTGAAGGAGCAGGACATCCACAGTTTCGCCAATTCCTCAACAACATTATTATTTTCTGTAACTGTACCGAGTCGTGAAACTGACTGTGCCACCGATCAAAACATGCAGCTGACTAACACTTTCAACATTTTTAAACTATGACTTATCTTCTAGAGCTCTTCAACAGTATAGTCTAATTGCTAGTGAATCAGGACGGCTGTGGTGAAATAGCGTTGTATCGAAGAAAGTTCTTAGCCTCGGTTCTGCACATACGCTCGCTCAAGGAGTCATCTCAGCAGCGTACTAAATTTTCGTACCATGCTCTCCAACGTCCATCAAGCTACTCATTTCCTTTTTATTTTATCCCATTTTATAATTGAAATAATTCTGTGTTAGCCACAATGATGGTGAGGTATTTACAAAACTCCGGAGCACAGGTGTCCGCGGTGGGGAACGAACGCGCTATTACCCTTTGCGGAGGCCGCACCATGTGGATCATTCGTTTCGCCTGTCTCTCAAATAATTCTATTGATCCTATCTCACAAGGTAGTGTCGTTACCTATCACAGTGACATAGAACCAGTTTACAGTGGTCCTTTGTGAAACACGAATTATGTACAATAGACTTAGTAATATTGTTTAAACAACTTCACTCCGAGGAGGTTACCAAGAACAGGGAGTTACCAAGAAGAAACGAGCAACTTTCGAAGATTACAAGTTTACTGAGATTACGAAAAAGACCTTGAACAACTAACTAGCCCACATCTTTCTAACGTCATGATTTTTCTGTTTAACGTACTCGTTGGTATTGTGTGCTTAAGATTGCGCGGACTGCATGTGATCCTACGCAGGGTTTCTTTAGAAATGGGTTGCACTAATGAGAAACTTGGACCCAATTCCAATAGCGAGCGCGCGCTCAGGGAGAGTGATGCTTCATAATACGGGGATCCTCGTCTTTTCTTGTGCGTTATCGACCTTAGTTTGACTCTTAATGCTTTTGCAAATGGTGCTTCCTTGCTTAAATTTGGCGGATTTTTGCGAATGGCCTAGTAAATTTTGAAATTTTCTGCTTAAGGCTAGTTTATCACTTAACTTAATAGAACTGCAAATCAAAATTGAGCTATCTGTTATTCTCCTCCTAAGGAGAGCCTCCAAATATTGAACATAACGGGATGCCTTCGACTTCACTTCTTCAGTTGAGCGTTCACTTCATTTTGTTTTGCTTGCATCGAAGAGAGGCGCATTTTAATCGCACTTGTCCAGTACTTGTTGGCTGTCAGCTGGAGGGCATACATCACGTTGTCGTTTTCGTTTGATGAAATTCGGCACAACTCGGTGTTTTAGGCGTCGGCGGAGAAATGATATCGTTGATCCAGCTAGGAAAATCTTCTTCCTTAGTGACAGGGCTTCTTTTACAAGTCGATAATATTCCGCTACATCATGTAGGAAATCCCAAGATCGGATTTCTTTTAACCTCGGCATTGATTAGTAATTCACTGTTTTTCTTTGTGAGCAAACACCAATTTAGTATTATAGCACTTATCACCATACAATAGCTGATCTTACGGCGGTTTTCCTTTCTTCAGAGCCTGGATAGTCAAAATGACATGTAATCTACTCACCCAGACACTTTCATAACCTCAGAAGACAAAGCTTATTACAAAAATTTTTGTTTGAATAATAAATAGCACTTAGCAAACACTCAGTGCTTTTAAATGAATGTGTTTGTCAACCCCGTGTAAGCTCAACTTTTTTAAGACTACTTCCTGCTTTGTTTTTTGAAAGTCTTCCAGTTATTTCGCGTAGACTATCCGTTAAGA